AATACTTTCACTGCTTTATGCATACACACTGATGGCAACTGTTAAAGTGCCTTGGTGATTTGCGTTCTAACTTTTAGATGTTTTTCTGAAAACAGAAGAAAAAACAACCCACAAAAAACCCCATGTAGGCACATCCCTAAGCACTAGGATAGGCAAATTCTCATTTACAGTGTAAATCCAGCTCATATTTCACTTCTATTTAGAATGTGATTAATCTTCTAATAATAATAAATAATAATTTGCACTGAAATGTAGTAGGAGACAACTTTAAAAGGTGTTTTATTTTACACACACACACACACACATTTTTAAATCTGTAAGTATGAAAAAGTCAGACAAGAAGTTTGATTAGATTCAAAACTTAAACCCAAAACCACCACAGCTAATAATCCAATTTAGTCTAAACAACAGAACTCATCCAGGGATTCTCGTGTTAAACCATAATTCTGGTTGAACCACAGATCAAATTTCATCAGTAGAGAGTCATCCCACTTCTCACTAAGACATTCAGAGGTATAATTGAGCTCACTGGGAAAAATGTGGGTTTGTTCCAGCCCAAATCTATTCAAATTCAGTTTCTAACCTTGAGATTTCATTTTGCCTTTGCCTGACGAACAACAAAAGCACATAGAAAATATTTGCAGTGAGGAGATACACAAACATATATCATATCAATTAATTACCTTTATTTCTACTGGATAATTCAAGGATTACACTAATGCAAAGTGTCAATAGAAAATTGAGTTCTTTATGGCTCACAGTATACTTCTGTATCATTTGAGACCAACAAATCACAAAGTGTAAAATATTAAGTATATTTTGTGATTTCACAAATAAATGTTATAGACTGAGAAATCTTTAAGTGCCCTAGGGATCAAAAGTAATAATTTTTTTAAGAAGTACTTTATGCATACACCAAATATGCTTTCACTTCCATATTTAATATTTCTCTTTGTGCTGTTGTATTTTATACAGTAAAATATTTCATATATCACTTACTTTTTTGTCTTCATTATATTTATGAAAAATTTCTTGTGCTCTTTCTTCACCACCATCCGTAAACAACATAATAATCTTATTGCAGTTAGCTCTGGAAACACTGTGCTGTAGAAGATACAATCAGAAGTGTTTTTATATTTCAGGCTATAAGGAATAACAACTGCTATATCTGATGGCTTTTATATCTACATCCTTACTACTTTAACATGGTAATGGCAAAACTTCAAAATATTTTAGAATTTTATTTCAGTACACCCTTTTGAATGAGAAATAAAATAAACCAAAACCATTTTTCTGTTCCATGACACTTAAATGTGACCTATTTCAGATTTGGACTAACACAGTGGAATAGGGATCTGGTGGTTCCTCTCACCTCCACAAACACCAGGAGAGCTCATATCCATCACATCAAACCCCCAGTGTTCCTATACAGATGTTCTGTGTGAGACTTGCACAGTGAGGGTCTCTAAACATTTTTACTTTTTTCTCATCCTTATTTTTTTCCTTATCCTTACTGTACCTGTGGAAATTTGTGAACAATGACCCTGTAATGAATTATTGAATATGCTTATTTTTTTCTGTTGGACTCCTACTCACAGAAACTATCCAGCTCACTGACTCCTTAAATGAAGCTCTGTCAATTTAGGCATCCTGTAGGTATGTCCACCCTATAAGCTCTGAAGTATTTTGCATTTTTTTCACATTTCTTTAAAATGTGTTTCATCTTTCAATTTTTTAATTCTTTCCTGGTTTTCTACATTATTATTTTTAATACCTTGAAATGAATAGCTAATCTTTAGAAAAATATCTTACAATCAGGTTTGCATAATAGCCAAGATGTGGCTTTCTAGATTATTAAAAACTGTCCATCACCTGCTTTTCTAATTAGGTTGCACCTCACAACTGAAGAACAGAATGAGTTCCATCATTTCTGGGGAGCAAGCCTGAAACAGAGAGAATTAAGAAGAAGCCTCTCTGACTCCTAATTCATCAAAGTAACTAGTAAAGTCCCTGAGAAAAATGCAGTGTGTTTTGCAAAGGAATAAAAACATTGTTCCACAGGTAGAACAATAGAGGTGAGTATGAATTTTGGCTCCTCATGGAAGGACCAAATGCTCCTACTTTGGCATTCATCCTCTGCCTTTATTCTTTAAAGAAGCAAATTGCTCATGACTCTTGCAGCCAGTGTTCCTTGCCCTTTGTATTGCATACAAATGGTCCCAATAAATTCAATTTCTCCTTCCACAAGCCTGAATTTTGCTATACGAGTTTTCTCTAGAGTCAGGAAAATAAATAGGAGAGTTGTCCTTACAAAAGCACTCAGCTCCCCCTTGCTTTACTCTTTATGCCCAGATAGCGACTGTCACCAGGCTGGTCACACTGAAACACCAAAACCAGCCCTCAAATATCACCCAGTAACTCTCAATATTGCATTCTACAGTTCTACAATGCTTCAAGAAAACTAAAGCACAAAAACATAATTAACAGAGTAAGAATTATTCTTCAGAGATGATTTATGTTTATAGTTCAATATTCTGTGAATAAATACTTATTTATTAACTAAAAAAAACCCAAACCAAAACACAAGCCCAAAGATTTTCTTACATGTAACAACATATAAAACCTGCTTGAAATCAACACATTCTCTCCAACCTCAACAGCACACTGTGTTTCAGTTGGAATTAAATAATTTATGATCATTTTTCACTTGTGAAATATAAGTTACAAGATACTGCTTTGGGCTGTAATCTTTTAGATATTAAAAAAGTAATAAAAGCAGAGTTGGATATTTCATAAATAAATAAAGAAATTCACATGCGTTTACAGTGGTTTAATATATAGGCCAAAATAAGGTCAGAGGGAACAAAAGAGAGATATCAAGGAAGTGGACCAAACTTGCTCATATTATGAAACCTTCCTACTGATTTTGAAACAAGCACTACTATGGGCAATGTGAACTTGAGCTAGGCCTTACTTTAACTGGTTAAATCAGGACTTTTCTAGTGGTTTACTCAGCATATGCTTATACAGTATGAGATGAACACAGTGGTTTATCTCCTAGTACTTACAGAAGGGCATTTACTTACACTATGCTGTCTAGACACTAAAGTCATGTCATAGGAAAAAACCTCAAGACTTTAGCCTCCAAACATAATTGGAAATCTGAACATGAGTAAGTTCAAATCATATGATATTATATTCATATTACATATGAAGTGTTTAAAGCCAGTTTGGGTAGAGCTCTGAGCAAGCTGGTTTAGAGAAAAGTGCCCCTGCCCACAGTAGGGGAGTTGGAACTAGTTGATCTTTGATATGCCCACCAAGCCAGGCCATTCTGTGACTCTGGGATTCTCCCACAATAAAAACTTTGCTTTTGGATGAATGAATTTAACACGTTAGTCTTTCAAAAGGCATCAAGGAAGGTAGAATTGCCTTTAGAACACCTCTTATCCCCCCCCACACACATTTGGACTAAACAGGGGAGATATTGGCTCACGATGTGAAAATAAGTGATTGTGAAAAGCTGATGCAGCAACTTCATAATTCTTCTGAACAGTTTGCCTCAGCAGTCCAACAGACCACAGATGAAAGGGAATGTGTTGCCTATACAGGAGCTTCCCCAGGACAAAAAACAATTTCTTAGCTTAAACCACAGAAGGATACAAGTTGGAACTAAGCTATGTATTAATTTTTAGCTCTCTCTTCTATTTGATGAAGGTCTTTTTTTATTCTTTCAAACAAGCAAGCAAAACATGATCCATTTTATAGTATGTTTAAAATTACTTTTGTTTTATAAAAGTTTCACATCTTTAAAATTAACTCATTAAATGGCAGGTAACAATTATACCTTGTGACATGACACTTTAAAAATTCATTTTTCACTATTTTTTCTTTGACAAATCATAGCTATTATGGTGTGTTGGGAAAAACCCTCCTGGAACTGCTGAAGGTGAGGTATTGTGCTTTTCAAAGAAATAACAAGTTAATATAACAATAAATAATGAGAAAATACTACATAAAAATCCAGATTATTGATAAACACTGGCATTAGTATGTTGAAAAAAGCACAAGTATCTATTTTCATTTGGCAACACATCAGACAGCAATCTTTTCATGCCACAAGTGAAACATTGCTTCAGTGTTCTGGAAAATTGTTTGAAATAATTGTCATCCAGAAAGAGTGCCCCCAAAATTATTATTAAAATTTAAGCAACACTGCATTTCTATGGACCTTAAAGCAATTGGATTATTTGAATTCATAAATATACAACTGGAAACTATCTCACAGCATATTTTTTATTATTTGCTTAAGGTGGTATTATATCATCATATTATATTGTCTTGTCACTGGAGTGTAGTGTTAAATCCATCACCAGCCCTTTACTCTTCCTTCTAAATGGATTTGCCAGTGTTTGGAGGGGATGACTGTATATCTATAACCTCATGCAATCCACAATGTCCAGCCATAATTTACAGTCTTGCAGAGATCATGTGAGGCTAATTACACCTCTGCCTTCAGCTACAAAAGAGTTGGTCCCACTATGACACTGATCTACCATTAATTTGTAAATAATATTTGAGTCCTCCAAACAAGTCCACTTAGAGATTTCCCCTGTGTTCAGCTTGTCTTAATGTTGCCTGCACACAAAGTATATATCTGGTGTTCTATGTAATCCATAATTTTAAGGAAATATAAATGTCATGAGGAATATATCTGGAAAAATACCTTGCCTTCCTCTTCCCTCTGCATGAGATGTCAACAGATGCAGAAAATGGGAAAATGCCATACAGCCTGGTCCAAAAATATCCAATAGACTTTAAAAATAATCATCAGCAGAGGGCACCCACTCATTTCTCCACCAAACCCCGCTGCTAAACTGAATAATGGTCAACTGAGAAAATTCCCATGAAAACATTGCTTTTTCTTTTCCTACATAAAAATTTAAGAAGGGTAGAAATTTTTCAACCATTTCTAGCCTTAAATTGCATATACAATGTCAGGGAAGTGTCCTGAAGTCCAGAACCTGGCAGATTAGGGGGAAAAAGTAAAGTAAAAACAAATATATTACAAAAAATCATAAGGAAAAGAATGCATTTCATACTTGTCAAGCCATATCCTTATCTGCTGTAAACTGATTCAGCTTTACTTGCACTAAGGTGGAGATCTAATATGCAGTTTTTACAAAGGTGAAAAGTAGAATTATTTTTTTAAACAACCACATAAACCATTAAAAATTTACTGATTAACTCCCAACATCTGTGGTAGATGGGAAACACTGCTATTCAAAAAGATAGTGCTTGGGTGCAAATTAGAAAGTACAATGTATTTAAAACATAGTAACGATGCATTTATTTTTAAGGAAATTATTCTTTTTATACATGAGGAAGAGAAAGGAATTAGAATACTCTCAGATGCCTAATATTCCTCTATTAACTAACTCATTTCCTCTGCTCTATTCTGCTCAGGCCATGGTAAACTATTTATGAGTTCCAATAAGTGTGAAATTTTAGGTTAACTAAACATTGCTAGGAGGTGCTGTGGTAAAATTAAAATAATACCACTATAACACAGAGCTGTCCATTGTAACATTAACTGCAAGTTAACCACTGCCATAAGTATGTGCCAACTGGGAATCACATGTTAAATGGAAAACCAGCTGAATGAACTAAAACAGTACAACACATTGAAAACCAAATTCATTCCCAAATCTTAGCAACCTGCTAGGGAATCTGCAAGGAAAAAACATTTCTGGGATAGATTTACTTGCTAAATAAAGGTTTGCACTTCGACCACTTAAGTTACACAATGAAGGAGCACCCAGTGGCCATCTGAACATTCAGGTTCTCCTGCTTCACCTGGCAGAAGAGAGATATTACTTAAACACTTACATTTAGCAGCTGTTCAAAAGCGTAGCTAAAGCCTTTTTTGTAATCTGTAATTCCTTTAGCAGAAATTTTATAGACAGCTTCTTTCAGTTTCTTCTTGTTCCTCACATTAGCTTGGACAAGATGATTAAAGCAACTGACGTTCTGAGCATTATTATTAAACTGTAAAATAAAAAGAAGTGGTATTAAAACAGTTATTTTCTTTTCTGTGTACTGTAGTGCTAAAGGTTTATGTTGTTTGGATCCATGAGATAAAGAATATCACACTTGGATTCTCATTTCCACTATTGAGAACGTCCAGCAGCATCTGGAGATTTCAAAATGGGGCAATAAATATATTTAAAAATAAAGGTATTTGGTGCTTCACCCGGTGGCAATCAAGAAAACTCTACTATAGTAGAAAAATTCCCACAAATTTTGTTTCAAGTTTATATCATGAAATAAAACTCAGACACGCAGACAAAATGAAAAACATAGAAAAATACGTATTTTACTCTTTTTAATCACTGAAAAATACTGGTTGAGTTATCAGGTGACTTCTATATTGCACCTATTAGTTTAGTGGTTTACAATGAAACCTATAGATCATATTCAATTAGTACATATACCTTATGGAAAGCAAAATACACTCTTGGGGAAAAAGGAAGCACATGAGAGTATAGCTGCAAATACGAGAATATTGTTAATAGCAATATAAATTTGCGTATTGAGAACACACGTGCTTCTGCTGTCCTACCCACATATCCACAAAAACTACTCACTCTTAATTAATTTATATGAGATTTTGACGTTATTTAAAAACATACACAGAAAGTTTTTAAGTGCAAGATGTCATCTGCACAAGTAGAAATCAGTTTATGATCACCTGAAAATTCATCTCTGTATAAATATACATACATTCATGTATATGTACAACTACATGTATCTTCAGAGAGAGAGAGAGAGATGCAGATATAGGTCTCACTTTTTAGTGGCACCATGTATGATTTTAACTCTAGTTTTGGATGAAAGTGCATATTACTGCATACAAGCTGTATTTAACTCTATTTGAGTGAAAATCTCCTTTTAACTACAACACAGTGACTTTTATCTAAGATACTCTTGACTAATATTACTAAAACTACTGTCTAGGCCAATTTTAAACTGTTTCATCTGTCAAGATTTCTTATGCGAGCTTTTTTCCTCACTGGTAAAGATGATGTCCAAAAACCTCTGTAAACTCCATCTCAGTAAAGGTACTAAAATACAGATCTCTTAATTTACACTTCATCTGAAAGTAGATTATTATGTGTCTTCCTGATTATGGATCTTCAGTGAAAGTAAATGTAAATGTAATTTTGTCCTGTCAAACTTGTGCAAAGCCTTAAAATAATGTAAAAATCAGGCCATGTTGGTTTAAGTCCCACTACTGCTAGATAGTTCAATAGTGCTCTATAGAATAAAGGTCACAGATTTCAATAAATGCTCAGACTACTTACCAGTCTAAAATAAATCACTAAGCACCAGGCACAAAGTGTAGAGAGACAGCTGCTGTCAGCAGCAAACACCAACTTGCACTGTGACTGTAGGACACTTATAGTGAACAAAACTTAAAAGGATGGAAAGACTGATAATATCAAACCAACTTTTATAATGCCTACTATTTCAATTCAAGTTATTAGGATGCTTAGGAGGTAAGCAGACTTTTCCCTGTCCTCGAATCAGATGCTCCCTGCTGTTAGGACCCAATAAAATATGAACTACCAGTTATTATTCTCAAATATCCACTTTAGTCAATAAGACTTCTGCTATGAAATTGCTAGAAACAAATGTATAACTGCAAATACAGTGCAGCTAATGGCAGAGATGACTGACATAGGCATCATCCTCAGCAGAAGGCTTAGCCTATTTTGTTCCATATCCTTCTTGAAAACAGGCACAGAAGTGTAACTGTGGGGATTTGGGGTGTAATTGAGCAAATCCAGGTGCTATTATGAGAGCCTTTGCTCTGCTGGATTCTTCCTTACAGTTCCATATGGAATATCTTATTCTCACAAAGAGGATGTGTGAAAGTGCCCCATGAACTAAAGAATTTAAAGCATGAATTCGTCTGCCTCATCTTGTCATATTTTTATTGCACCAGAAGCCCCTCCTGCATGTATATAGAACCTAAACCTATTTTAATTTTGAGCATTAAGTAATTCATAACTAATCTAATACCTTGTCATTCTCATATTGCAATTACTTTGATAGGGTGCTTATTTTTGATTTTTCCTCATGAATTAATATTGTATTTTTCTGAGACAACAATTTTTTTTTACGGTATAGCTGATGCTTTGTTGAGGACTGCATTAGTTAGCAAATAATATTGATACTTGCTAAGCAAAACATACTATGACAATACTCATATAAGAATCTTCATCTATCTTTCTAATTAATAAGAACAGTTATTACTCTGTCCCAATTTTATAGTTCTGGTCCCCAGGTGATTAAATATGTAGGAGTAAGTTATTCTCAAAAGACTTTATGCAAATTTTTCTGTCCCTCTTTCTGTCAATAAGCAGTTCCCAATGTATCACAAGGGGATGGCTGCTTCCAAAACATACAGAATCATAAATAAGTGCTTTAATTTTGAAAAGTGCAGTGTTATATTCTATTCCAAGTATTCTGTGGAAGAGTTAGTTGTATATAATGTTAAAAAGAAAGTGGTTTATTTATTTTAATAATATTTTATTTACTGTGGCTTTAATTTTCACAATACGACAACCACAAATATACAATTATGTATCAAAATTATTTACAGTGACATAAATACGAAAAGAGGATGAAAAAATGAAGATTAAAAATATTTTCCATTTCCCCCAGTGTCACTTCACCTTTAAAATAAATGAAGACATGGAATTGGACTACATATATTTAAGCTTGAATATTCCTTTAATGTATGTAATATTTCTCAAAAAAGAATATTTTGGTAGGACCAATAAAACCAGCATGTTTTGTTGCTTAAGCAAAACCACAAGATGATCACACAACTGTAATGAGTTTGATGAAAAACACTGACATACTCAATGGTGCTTCTAATAATAGTTTCTACCAGAAGTAACCAGTAAATCAGCCAAAGGTTATTGGATACATAAACCATGTGGAAGTGAAAACAGTATTGTGCTGTGGAATTATATAAGTTTGCCTCAACCTAGATTTACACTCATGATGGGAAAATTACAGCCATAAAGTAATTTTATAAGGATAAGGTCTCAAAAGGAATTCTAATTCTGAGTTGGGTTGAAAGTACAGAACTTGTACTCGGAAAGTAGAAGAAAATGGTTACCTCATAGGCAGCTCTGCTCTACAAAAGTCAATTTCATTTGAAAAACTAAAGTGAAAACACTGCTGTGGTCCATCAGTGACATTATATATGAATTATTTAATGTATAAAAGTAAGCATAAGTTTAATCCTATGGCCAGTGCATGCATTGTCTTGAGCTATAGCAAACAGCAGTTTAGACGTTCAAGCGAAAATTTAGTGACAAGAGAAAATTTCTCCCTGAAGAGTCATTAACATTAAACTGCAAATCTAAATTGGTTGCTAGCAGCCCTGCAAATATATCAGCATAATTATTTCTATGAAGGTCAGGTATCTAGCATGTGGATCTGTAATTATGGCTACAAAAATGACATGTTAGAAATTGTCAGGAATACCAGCTCAAACTGTGGAAGAAGTTGACAAGTAAACTATACTGCAGGACAATTACACATTAAACTGTACTGTACTGCACTCATTCTGTAAACACAATAAAGGGGCAAGGTCAAAACATCTGCATCTATAGATTGACAAATGCTGATGTAAAACCAAGGAGAGAAATGACACATTTTTAGGATGGAGAGTTACATCAACCAAAGTCTGCAAATGCTGGAATTTAATTAAGAAAATATATGGGCCAGCTGTTTCCAAAGATATCAGTCAAAGTTAATGTTAATGCCAGTCAGAAAAGCAGATGAGCAGAGTTTTTGAGATGAAGGAATCAGTAGTTGGAACAACAATCCTCCAAAATGAACATTTCCCTGTTTGCTAGGAGGTGAGGGCAAAGTTGAAACGTGACTGATGAAAATTTGCAAAGGGAGGAACAAAATTCAGGGTACATTTAACTAATTTGAACTCCAGTAAAGTACTGAAATGATAGAAGGATTTTGACTGTAAAAGCCTTCAGATCACCCATAAAACTGACTTTTCACATGAGGCAAAAACCAGGACTGTTCAAATCTTTGAATCAGACAAACTGAGACAGCTTTTATTTATGCTCATGCGAAATATAATAACAATAGTGGCATTACAATTTTTTACATATTAAGATACCAAAAGCCAAAATAACTGCAATGAGCCTTTAATGATTACTCGTCACATTGCCTGACTCCTAAGCACTATAATAATTCTTTTTTCAGTTTAAAAGATTTCTTGAAAGCCAGTTAACAATATACGCAATCACTTAGTATTTAACTGCAGAAAAAACGTGTAAGATTTCAAAAAACAGTTGCCACTTCAGAAAATCTATGTTCTTAAAAAATCAGATTTTATCAAAGGAGTAAAATTAAGGTAATTACAATCCCTATTTTATTGAACAAGATACTCACAGTGTATCTATATGAAATACATCAGTTGGGTATTTATCAGGTTGGCATTTCCCCCTAATTACTGCAGTAAATATAGCATATGTCACAAAAGTGGTACCAGTAAAAAGGAAATAAATGAAATTTGCTTATGATGCTATGGGCTTAGTGATTCACTTACAAAACAACAGATGACATTTGAAGGCAAACTGTTCAATTGTTAAAATGTAAAGCCATCCTATACGGTATGTCACACTTGTAACAGCTCCTACTTTTTCAATTCTATAAAAAGCTTATTCTTTATTTAAGCTAGAATAAGAAGGGCTTGAAGGTAAACAGTTGGAAATCATGAAAATAGGACAATTTTAAGCTTTTTTATTTTAAGGTATCATGAAGTATTAATATAATTAAATTTGTCTAGTAATTATACCTGCAAGGTATAAGATTCTAAATGCAGTTTTCACTAGATTATTTCTCACTACCCCATTTATTTATATCCTTTTGCAGTCCCCACCTTTGGGACGTCCCAGACCTATCCTCATCTCTGAGGAAATTAAGACCTCCTCTTCACAGGTTTG